AATGATTATGATAATAATAATATAAATATAATATAATAATAATAATAATAATAATAATAATAATAATAATAATAATAATAATAATGATAATGATGATATTGTGATAAAGGCGATAATAACAATAATTAGTGATGATGTTGATAATAATAATGACAGTGATATTAGTAATAATGGTCGTATTAATGATTATGGCGCAGTGATAATAATGGTGATGATATTTACAATAGCAATAATGATAACGATAAAAATGGAAGAGATAATAAAGAAAAAAATGAATAATTAGATAAACCATGATCATGTTATCATTATCAATATTATTACTATCGAGGTCATCGTATGTTTCACTATTATCATTATCATTAATCAGTCATCTTGTTATCAACTGTATAACTGTTATCAATGACAACAATGATATCCATTATCATTAATGTCATAATCACAATTATTTTTATTTTCATCGGCCTTTACTATATCATCACTATCTTTCTCTTTCTCTCTCTCTATCTCCCTCTTTCTTCTCTCTCTCTCTCTCTTTCATTATCAACATATCATTTTAATCATCATCTTCATTATCATAATCATCATTGTCAACGCTTCTACTATCGTTATCCATTAATTCTCACACTCATCACCATCAAGAGTTTCATTATCAAATGTCTTTCCTAAAAACATAATTTGTTTTCATTTGTTTTGGAAATATAAATAATGAATTTGAAATTCAAAGGGTTGGAACGGATTATAGAAAAAAAGATGACAATAGAATGTGATACGATGAGGGAGAAAGATGGACAGATAGATGGATGTAAAGATATATAGATAAAAAGCAGATAGATAGATAGATATATGTATAGATAGAGAAAGAAACAGAGAGACAGAGAGAGAGAGAGAGAGAGAGAGAGAGAGAGAGAGAGAGAGAGAGAGAGAGAGAGAGAGAGAGAGAGAGAGAGAGAGAGAGAGAGAGAGGAGAGAGAGAGAGAGACAGACAGAGAGGAGAGAGAGAGAGAGGAGAGAGAGAGAGAGAGAGAGAGAGAGAGAGAGAGAGAGAGAGAGAGAGAGAGAGAGAGAGAGAGAGAGAGAGAGAGAGAGAGAAAGAGAGGAAGACAAAGAAAGAAGGAAGGAAAAGATAAATAGACACAGATAGATAGATACATAACGTAGCATAGCTAAATAGACAAACAGATCGAGAGATGGAGAAAAGGAGAGAGAAAGGAACAAAAGAAAGAAAAAAAATGGCATTAGCTTCTCGAAGTGGGTGAGTGAGTGTGTCGCATTTCACATTTCTTGCAGACGACCAGACCAAGACGAGAATTGAGTCACTGTCTTGTATAACAGTTGCTCTGCACTTCACACGGGCGGTTGTGCCTTCCCTGGGCTTGTGTTGGTTAAGTTGTAGCTATTTTTGTATATCTATGTTTATCTCTCTGTTCTATTTGTGTGTGTTTATATCCCAATCTCTCTCTCTCTCTTTTTTTTTTTCTTTCTCTCTCTCTCTCTATTTCTCCTTCTTTCTTTTTTCATTATTTCATTCTCTCTCTCTCTCTCTAACTATCTGTATATCTATCTATCGATCTGTCTGTCTGTTTAACTATCTATCATCTGACATATATCTCTCTACCTATCTATCTTTCTATATGATTCATTCCAACCGTCTATCTGTTTATTTATCAATCTATTTGTGATTGTTTCATTCCGTTCCTTCCTTTCATAAAAATAAATAAATACAAAATTCCGTTTTCGTTCCAAGGAAACACTTTGTTTTTTAAAGGACGCCAGAATTAATTTGTTTAATTTCATTCACAAGTTACATGGTCAAGAATATATAGATCTAGTTTATATATTTTTATCTGTATGCAGAGGAAGTTCTGTATAAAGCATACTGCATACAAATATTTATGCTAAACGAGATAGGAGGAAAAGCAACTTTAAATTATTTATTTATCTTTTGTGGGCATATCCTCTCTCTCTCTCTCTGTCTCTCTCTCTGACTATCTTTCGTTTTTTCTCTATCTCTTTCCCTCTTTCTGACGCCTTTTCTTTTCCTCTTTTCCTGCGTTACTCTCTCTTCCCTCCCCCCACCCTCACACCTCTTCCCCCTGTCTCTGTGTGTATGCAGGTGTGTGTGTAAGATAGGTGTGTATGTATAAATATGTGTGTACGTGTACGTGAGATTCATGCTGACAAATATGTAACTATGTGTGTATGCTTACGTGCGTGCGTGCATGTGTGACCTCGCATGTGTGTGTGCGTTTCATGGGGCCACGCAGTCTCGCCCCTCCCCCTTCACCTACACCTCCCCCCTCTGCCCCCCCCCCCTACACCTCCCCCTCCCCCCTAAGACTTCTTCCCACACACATGATACAACTGACTCTGCAGCTGCAACTGACACCTTCCTTCTCTTCATAGCCTTTGGAGAGCATTGCCATTTGTCAGCGAGGTTTTTAAACACACAAAAAGCAATACCTGATTCTCTCTCTCTTTCTTGTTTTTTATCTATTTTTTATTATCATTATTCTAGCGCCGGTGATCGAGTAATATACTATATTTGGATTTTATATCTGCTGCTAGGTGAGTAATCATCATAAATATAATCGTTGTTATTATTAATCACTGTCAACATTACCTATGTTCTTATTAGTATTTTTACCATCATAATGAATTGTTTTTACTATTACAATTTTCACCATCATTATTAACATCATTATCACCATGATTACTATTATCATCCTCAACCTCATCATTATTACATCCATCGTTAACATCATCACCATCACCATTATTACTGTATCATCATCATTACCTTAATTACTATGTCTGTCATTACTCTTATCCTCATTACCAATTATCACTCATATCATCATCCTTGAATCATTCCTCATTTATCTAAAATAATCCTCATATTCAATCTTTACATAAATTTCCAAGAAAGAATAATCATGCATTTCTTATTTTATTCGAAAAAAATCTAATATTCTCCTATATTTGGACTTTAGTGTCATGTGAGTCATGTCATGTCACACAAAAAATTCTGGGAACGTCTTCCGTTTCATCTGAAAGACTCTACGGGTTGACTTGATTAGAAGTTACGTAAGGAACGTGAAAATAAATATTATGATATGAAACCTAAGGAATATTTAGAGACCAATTTTGGCTCTGTGCCGAAAAAGAGAGAGAGAGAGAGAGAGAGAGAGAGAGAGAGAGAAGAGAGAGAGAGAGAGAGAGAGAGAGAGAGAGAGAGAGAGAGAGAGAGAGAGAGAGAGAGAGAGAGAGAGAGAGAGAGAGAGAGAGAGAGAGAGAGAGAGAGGAGAGAGAGAAGAGAGGAGGAGAGAGAGAGAGAGAGAGAGAGAGAGAGAGAGAGAGAGAGAGAGAGAGAGAGAGGAGAGAAAGAGAGAGAGGAGAGAGAGAGAGAGAGAGAGAGAGAGAGAGGAGAGAGAGAGAGAGAGAGAGAGAGAGAGAGAGAGAGAGAGAGAGAGAGAGAGAAGAAGAGAGAGAGGAGAGAGAGAGAGAGAGGAGAGAGAGAAGAGAGAGAGGAGAGAGAGAGAGAGAGAGAGAGAGAGAGAGAGAGAGAGAGAGAGAGAGAGGAGAGAGAGAAGAGAGAGAGAGAGAGAGAGAGAGAGAGAGAGAGAGAGAGGAGAGAGATTATAGATAGACAGATAGATAGAAAGATAGAGAATATAGATTAGAAATATATATAATATATATATATATATATAATAGATAGATAGATAGATATAGATAATAGATAGATAGATAGATAGATAGATAGATAGATAGAGAGAGAGAGAGAGAGAGAGAGAGAGAAGAGAGAGAGATTTATAGATTCAACACATACACACAGAGAAAAAAATAGACTGAGATAGATAGATAGAGAGAAGAGCGAGCGAGCGATAGAGAGAGAGAAGAGAGAGAGAGAGAGAGAGAGAGAGAGAGAGAGAGAGAGCAGAGAGAGAGAGAGAGAGAAGAGAGAGAGAGAGAGAGAGAGAGAAGAGAGAAAGAGAGAGAAATATAGATATATAGATATAGAGTCAGAGATAAATAGATGGATAGATAGATAGATAGATAGAGAGAGAGATAGAAAGGGGGTGAAAGAGAAAAAGATAGCTGGATATACAAATAAACAGATAAATAGAAAGATAGATGGATAGAATCATGCAGAATCATGAAAAAAAATCCCAGAAAATCCTTTTCAAATCTTACAAGCGGCTTTACAAACCCCTTTTTAAATCCTGGCAAATCCACTGTCAAATTTTGGAAAATCTTACAAAATACTTAAAAGACTCCCCAGAAAAGCCCACTTTAAACCTATTGCATATGTTAGAAAAGGAAAAGAATCCTACTCTTAAAACCTACGATATATATAAAAGGAATCCTACAAAATACTTTGAAAAGAACTACCAAGCACACTTAAAACCCACAAAATAAGTTTGAAAGATCCTCCAAAACATCTTTTTAAAAAAATCATACGAAAAAAACTACAAAAAATGTAACAAAAGCCCTACAAAACAATTTTCAAAACCCTATGAAACCTACAAAAAATGCAACAAATACTTTTCAAAATCCTACAAAGTATATACAAAAAATTATTTAAAACAAAACCTACAAAATATATTCAAAATTCCTATTCCTTCAGAAAAAAAACATAACCCACGAGGCACGAGTAAAAAATCTAAAAGAAAATCCAATCACACACACACAAACACACCCTTTTTTCTCTCTCTCTCTTAATCACACACACACACACAGACACACCCTTTTCTTTCTCTCTTTCTCCCTCCCTCTCTCTCTCTCTCTCTCTCTATCTATCTCTCTCATTCTCTCTCTCTCTCTCTCTCTCTCTCTCTCTCTCTCTCTCTCTCTCTCTCTCTCTCTCTCTCTCTCTCTCTCTCTCTCTCTCTCTCTCTCTCTCTCTCTCCCTCCCTCTCTCTTTCCCCCTCCCTCTCTCTCCCCCTCACTCTCTCTCTCTTCACTTCACATGTTAAGAATTCCTATAAAATCCTCGCCTACTACTCCGTCCAGTCAACTCCACACCCACTCTCCGCCGTGTTAAAAGCCTGAATACGGGGGCGAGGATGAGTCAGTTATGAAACAATGTAATAATAATATGAAAAAAGTTCGTTCTTTATGGATGGCTATTTTTGGATCTCTGGAAGGTATAAAGAGAAGAAGGAGAAAGAGAGAAGGAAGAAGAAGAGGAAGAGGAAGTAGCAGATAACTATGATTATGATGCTAATAATGATAATGATAGTAATGCTTATGATGATTATAATGATAATTATAATAATAATGATAGTGATAATGATAATGATAATGATGATTATAATGGGAATGATGATAATGATAGTAACAATAGATGATAATGATAATGATGATCATAATAGCAATAATTACATTGATATTAAAGATAATAATGATGATAACTATGATGATACTAATAATGATAAAAATGATAATGATAATAATAATAATAATAATAATGATAATAATAATAATGATAATAATAATGATAATAATAGTAATACTAATAGTAATACTAATAATGATAGTAATGATAATAATGGTAATGATAATAGTAATAATAATAACAATGATGATATTAATAACAAAATGATAGTAATGATAATATTAATAACAACAATAATGATAATAATAATGACAATGATAATTACAATAATAATGATATTAACAATGAAGAAAAGAAGGGAGTAAAACATGAAGAGAGAAGAAGAAGCAGAAGAAAAAAGAAAATTTGAAAAATAAGAGAGAAGAAGAAGAAGAGAGAGAAGAAGAAGAAAAGAAAAGAAAAAGAAGAAAAAGAAGAAGAAAAAAAGAAAGAAGAAAAGAAGAAAGAAAAAAAAAAAAGAAGAAGAAGAAGAAAAAGAAAAGAGAAGAAGATAAGAAAAATAAGAGAGAGAAGAAAAGAAAAGAGAAGAAGATAAGAAAAATAAAGAGAAGAAGAAAGAAGAAGAAAAGAAGAAAAAGAAGAGAGAAAAAGAAAGAGAAGAAGAAGAGAGAAAAGGAAGGAAAAAGAAGAAAAAAGAAAAGAAGAAAGAAGATAAGAAAAGAAGAGAGAAGAAGAAAAAGAAGAAAAAAGAAGAGAAGAAAAGAAAAAAGAAGAAGAGAAGAAGAAGAAAAAAGAAAAGAAAAAGAAGAGAGAAGAAAAAAGAAGAAGAGAAAGAAAAGGAAAAAAAGAAAAGGAGAAGAAGAAAAAGAAGAGAGAAAAGAAAGAAAAAGAAAGAGAAAAGAAAAGAAGAAATAAGAAGAAGAAAGAAGAAGAGAGGAGAGAAAAAGGAAAAGAGAAGAAGAAAAAGAAAACCGAAAGGAAGGAGGAGGAAGGGAGAGGATGAGCCGACTACCGAGTTTGAAGGCTGACTCACTTGTCCGGATCCTTGCCCCGGTGGAAAAAAAAAAAAAAAAAAAAAAAAACGCTGGTGTAATGGAGTCGTTTTGTCTACGCTTGCATCTGCAGGGGGTTCACGTCTATTTTTAGGACGTCTTGCGTATGTGGGTAATACTTTTTTTAAATTTATCTTTTGTTGTTACTTCTTTATTTGTTTTGTTCGTTGTTTGTTTGTCTGATATTGTTGTTGTTTATTTTTGTTATGTGCTTTTTATTGATTTGTTTGTTGTTGTTTTGACGTTTTTGTTTTTGTTGTTATTGTCCTCTGTTTTGCTACTACCTGTGCGTATGTCTTAAGTATGTGTGTAACTCATTTTTGCATTAAGTTTCTGTTTGTTTTGATATGTGGGTGTAGTCTTCTGCAGCTCTCTAAAGGCAACTACCTGACCCTGAATCGGTATACATACTTAAGGTATGGTTATCAGAATGTGAATAAGGAATCAGATTCTGAATACGTACGTACGGAACAAGCAAACAGCAATAACAACAACAACAACAACAACTTGCATTTGGAAAGTTACCAAACCCTTAGTTTCAATATAGCCCGAGACGCAAAACAGAGAGAGAGAGAGAGAGAGAGAGAGAGAGAGAGAGAGAGAGGAAGAGAGATGAGAGAGAGAGAGAGAGAGAGAGAGAGAGAGAGAGAGAGAGAGAGAGAGATTAGGAAGATATGAGAGAAAGGCAGACACATAGCTAAAGCAATTTCCGGAAGATCATAGCACACTAAAACTTTCTTTCCAAAAAGCGTCAACGCCGAATACCGGATGACTATGCCATTGACAATGCGACGAGAGGCATATGCTTTCGGCTTTAATGTAATATACTTATACTATTATATATATATATATACACACACACATACCACATACACAAACACACACACACACACACACACACACACACACACACACACACACATATTAAATCATATAATATATATATATATATATATTATATATATATATATATATATATATATATATATATATATATTATATATATATATATATATATATATATATATACTATATATATATATATATATATATATATATATATATATATATATATACACGCTCAAAATGCAATTTAGAGGGCGCCGCCCCGAAAAGTGACGCACGTACCTACGCCCGCTATTTTTAAAGGGAATGCAGATCTCAAACCGTGCCCAATCGCCTCTACTCTATCATACCCTTCCACAACACCCTCGATCATCTCCCTAACCCAATCCTTTGTTATGGGGTATATTTAAGGGGTCTATAAGGGGTCTATATGGGGTATACGAGTACCCGTGCCCATTCTCCTCTACTCTATCATAGCCTTCCATAGCACCTCGATCATCTCCCTAATCCATTCCGTTGTTTAGGGTATATTTAAGGGGTCTATAAGGGGTCTATAATGGTATAGGAGTACTCAAACCATATCCATTCTCATAGCACCCTGGATCACGTAATCGAAACCGGTCATATACATCTCTTGTATTGTGAAGGTATCCAGTCTCATTCATACCTTTTCTATATATATATATATATATATATATATATATATATATATATATATATATATATATATATATATATATATATATATATATATATACATTATATATATATTATATATATACATCTAAATATCTATCTATCTATCTATCTGTCTATCTATCGATATTTATATGAATACACACACACGCACACACACACATGAACACACGTACACGAGCGCGTGTGGGTTAATAAAGAGAGAAAGCGAGATCATGCCATCCATCAGAAAATAAGCAGACGTTTCGATAGAGAGATGCTGGCCGGGCGACATGCAGTCTCTCTGTCTCTCTCTTTCTCTTTCTCTCCCTCTCTTCTCTCTCTATCTCTCTATCTCTCTGTCTGTCTGTCTGTCTCTCTCTCTCTCTCTCTCTCTCTCTCTCTCTCTCTCTCTCTCTCTCTCTCTCTCTCTCTCTCTCTCCTCACTCCACCCCTCTCTCTCTCCCTCTCTCTCTGACTCCCTTCCTCCCATTCAAGCAAAGAGGCCGCGATTCTTTCCCAGAGTGACTCTCTAATGGCTTCAGAGAAAGCCGCTCTCCCTTCTCCCACAACAAACACAGGGTCACGGTGGCACTGCGTCTGGAAATCCCAGGGCGTGTACGAGGCGCTGGCACTTTGGCAATGAATCGGACACGATTCAGCGCCCGCCCCAGATGCTATGACGTCACTACCCGCGCTATAAGTGAAAGTTGCAGAGTTGCAATGTCATGGCTTACGTGCGGGTGTGTGTGTGTGTGTGTGTCTGTGTGTATGTGTATGTGTGCGCGCGCGCGCGCGTGTGTGTGTGTGTTTGTTTGTGTATGTATGTGCGTGTGTGTATGTGAGTTTGTGTGTGTGTATGCGTGTATGTGTGTGTGTGTGCGTATGTATGTATGTATATATGCGTCAGCGTATGTGCATAAGGAGTCAAAGGGGAGATAGGAAGTGCTACGGGTCCAGGAGGAAGGACAGAGGAAGGGCAGAAGGAAGGAGGGTAGGTGGTAATGGTGGTGGAAGAGGAGAAAGAGGAAGAGGAAGAGGAGGAGGAAGAAAGGGAAGAGGAGGAAGGATGAGGGAGAAGGGAGAAGGATGAGGATAAGGATGAGGATAGGTGGTGGAGGAGGAGGAAAAGGAGGAGGAGAAGAAAAGGAAGAGAAAGAGGTGGTGGTGAAGGAGAAGGGAAAGATGGCGTCAGTGATGGTATTGGTTCATTCACTCTCGGAGAGCACAGCGTATGTCTTGCTCCTTCTTAGCGATAAGATTTATTATTCGACCAGACAACAATATTCTTCATTGTAGCATACCCTCCAAATGAAGAAAAATGAAGAATAGAATAAGATAAATCGAAATAGAGACTTGGTATGCGAAAATGGGCGAGAGGGTCCGTAGAGTGAAAAAATATCCATTTCAACTCTTTTCGTTTTTTTTTGTTCAAATTTCATATGAGCTTTCTGTTGATTCACTTTTTATACTACCTATCTATTCTTCTATAATGTATTTTTTTCTCTCACTCTTTCTCTCTCCTTGACAAAAGAACAGTGATAAGCTTATCCATTTTATCATAAGTAGCCTCTTACAAAATTATGAGTGGAAAAAAAGCAAAACAGATCAGGAAATGCCCGGGCTCTTAAAGAGAAACCGTATTCCCACACTAAGAGAGAAAAAAATAGAGAGGGATAGAGAGAAAGAGAATAGACGGACAGATGGATGGCTAAATATGTACAAAGATAAAAAAGTAAATTGTCGAAATTAGTCTTAACTTGGAGAGAGAGAGAGAGAGAGAGAGAGAGAGAGAGAGAGAGAGAGAGAGAGAGAGAGAGAGAGAGAGAGAGAGAGAGAGAGAGAGAGAGAGAGAGAGAAGACAGAGACAGAGACAGACAGAGAGAGAGAGAGAGAGGAAAAGAGAGAGAGAGAGAAGGAGAGAGAGGAGAGAGAGAGAGAGAGAGAGAGGAGAGAGAGAGAGAGAGAGAGAGAGAGAGCGAGAGAGAGAGGGAGGAAGAGAAGGAGAGAGAGAGGAGGAGAAGAGAGAGAGAGGAGAGAGGAGAGAGAGAGAGAGAGAGAGAGAGAGAGAGAGAGAGAGAGAGAGAGAGAGCGAGAGAGAGAGAGAGAGAGAGAGAGAGAGAGAGAGAGAAGAGAGAGAGAGAGAGAGAGAGAGAGAGAGAGAGAGAGAGAGAGAGAGAGAGAGAGAACAAAAGAACAATGTTAAGCTTATCATTTGTTATCATAAGTGAAAAACAGTGAAAAAAATAAAGTAAGAAAGATTATCAAGAAATTCCCTTTTAATAAGAAATCGTATTCCCACGCTAAGGAAGAAAGAAATAGAGAGGGAGAGAGAAAAAGAGAATGGTGAATAAAATAACAAATTAATAGATGGATAGAGAGATAGATGGATGGGTAGAATGTAGAAAGACAAAAGTAAATTCTCGAGATTAGTCTTAACTTGGAGAGAAAGAGAGAGAGAGATAGAGAGATAGATAGATAGATAGATAGATAGAGAGATGAGGAGAGAGAGAGAGAGAGAGAAGAGAGAGAGAGAGAGAGAGAGAGAGAGAGAGAGAGAGAGAGAGAGAGAGTAACAAGACATACAGAGAGAGATAGAAAGATAAACAATTAAAGAGAAAAAAAGAAAAAAAGGCAAAAACACAAAAAGAGACAAACACAACGAAGAAAAAGAGACGAAGAAAGTGAGAAAAAAGGGAAAATGAAAAAGAGGAAAATTAAATCAACTGACTCACCAAACGGAGGTGTAACAGAAGTTCACACGAGTTTCTTTAGCGAATACCTCCCAACATTGCCAAATATGGTGCCTTTCCGATCTATTTCTCAGCGCAAAATACGTGTCGATTTTCCATTTAATGATTCACTCTTTGTTTGATTTAATTATGCCTTGTCGTCTCTAATTAAAGAAGTAAAGGTAAATGATATTTATAGAAAAATGGAACGTTGGTAAAGAGGATAAATTAATAAATTAATTAATAAAATAAAGAAAGTTGGTAAATATTTTGTTTCTATTGAGAATAATGAGAATGATAGTAATGATGATGATAGTGGTAATAATGAAATGATAACCATCATAATGATATTGATGATAACAATAGACAAAATGATAATGAAGATAGTAGTAGTAGTAGTAGTAGTAGTAGTAGTAGTAGTAGTAGTAGTAGTAGTAGTAGTGTCAAAAGTAATGACAACAATAATAATGATGATGATAGTGATAACAGTAATAATAATAACAATTGTGATAATGATAATGATAATGATGATGAGAGTGACGATGATGATGATAATAGTGATAATGATAATGATTATGATATCAATATTAACAGTAAGATAAAAATAAGGATAATAACAATGATAATAATAATGATAATGATAATAATAATGTTGAAAAGATGATAAGGATAACAGTGATAATGATGATAATGATGATAGTAATGAAAATGATGATCAAAGTGATAACAATAATGATAATGATAATGAAAATCATGAAAATAATAGAAATAAAGATAACAATAATGATAATTATGATAATGATAATAACAATAATAACTATGATAAAAATAATAGTAACAACAACAACAACAATAGTAATGACACTACTACTAATAATGACAATAACAACAATAATAAAACAATGACAATAACAATAACAGTATTATCATTATCATTAACCGCAATATCAATGATAACAATAATAAAATGACGCATACACATCGACATAAAAACGAACAACCACGCATTAACATCCACACAAAGACACATTGGCATAACAAATAAATAACAAATAATAACTGCATTCATACGCCCGCAAAGAGAGGAAGCAGACACCTCGCTGAACGGTTAGTAGTGTAAGTGACTCGCAACATTATTTTTGAACATTTGAACATACGTGTGTTGCCAGTGAGGTGTGGACCAACCTTGATCATTCTGTTTGCCAAGTATTCTGTGCGGGCGGTGTTCATCCCACACGCATGCGCTGTGTTCGTGTCTGTTTGTCTGTCTGCCTGTTTGTTTGTCCGACTGTCTGTGTGTCTGTAGGTTTGTCTGTCTGTCGGTCTCTCTCTCTCTCTCTCTCTCTCTCTTTCTCTCTCTCTCTCTCTCTCTCTCTCTCTCTCTCTCTCTCTCTCTCTCTCTCTCTCTCTCTCTCTCTCTCTCTCTCTCTCTCTCTCTCTCTCTCTCTCTCTCTCTCTCTCTCTCTCTGGTTCCCCATCTATCTATCAGTCTATCTATGTATATCCATATATCTCTCTGTCGATCTGTCTAGTTCAATCCATTTTGGCGAATGTAGATCTACATATCAATCTATTCTATCTATCAATATCTATCTATCTACTAATCTAGCCCTTTCTGATCGACATCTACCAAGTCATCTATCTATCATTCTATCAATTTTCTATTTATCTATTTACCTATCTATTAATTTTCTATCTATCTATCTATCTATCAATTTTCTATTTATTTATCTATCTATCTGTTAATTTTCTATTTCTATCTATCTATCTATCAATTTTCTATTTATCTATCTATCTATCTATCAATTTTCTATTTATCTATCTATCTATCTAGCGACCTATCTACTTATATTGATCTGTGGGTCGAAGCAAACTCAGTCTTAGATTTACTATTACTGTCAGAAAGCAGATTCGCACGTAATCCTTGTCCATTTTTTACCACAAATCTTTTCACATTCTCCTCTCATCGATCTTATTCTACCACAAAGATCTACCCTTTACGACAAATCTACTCTTATTGTACAACATCTATTAATCTACCCGGTCATCATCGACCATAAAAAGGCAAGTAAGGAAAAAACAAAATTAATTAATTCAATTTCGACTATCAGCCATTCCCTCTAAGGTTTCGTCATGATCCACCCATATATTATTATTTTTTTATTGCATTTTTCATCTTATTGTTATTCTTATCTATTTATTCATCCATCATTATTTTTTTGTAATTCTGATGTGAAATAGACATTAAAAAAAACAATACAATGTAAGAGTAAATCGATAAATAAGTAGAAAAATTAAATGATATTCCAGTTAGAAAGATTAATAAAAAAACAATAAATAAATAAGCAGATGAATAAATGGATAATAAATAGACCAAAACTGACCAAAAATGAGCAGATATACAATCATTAAATAGAGATAGATATAACATCCTAGCAATAGATACAACATGATATACAAGCCATTAATTAATAAACAAATCAATTCCCATTATCTTCTCTGTTAAAAGTATATCGGACATGCGATAACTAACAAACAATAATGATAATAAACACATCAAAATAATGATAGATATGATAAGAGGAAAGATATCAAAATAATCAAAAGCAAAACAGAAAGAAAAGAAAAAGAAAAAGAAGTGCCGACGAAGAGCAAACGACAGGAGACGAAGCGTAACGAAGGAAGAAAAAAAGAAAAAGAAAGAAAAAGAAAAAAAAGATAAATAAAGAAAGAAATAATAAGAAGGATATGAAAAGAAAGACGGAAAGAAAGAAAAAAAAAATCAGAAGGAAAGAAAGGAAGAAAAAATAAGAAGGATAAAGAGAGAAAGAAAGAAGGAATAATAATAGTAATAATAATAATAATGATAATAATACCACCACCACCACCACTACCAACAACAACAACAACAACAACAACAACAACAACAACAACAACAACAACAATAACAATAACCACAACAACAACAACAACAACAACAATAACAATAATAATAATAGAGAAGAGAGAGAGAGAGAGAGAGAGAGAGAGAGAGAGATCGCGGCCTGTGACGGAACAATGCAAACTTTTCCTACAAAGGTGCAACAACAACATCCTGGCAGCTGTTGGCTCCTTGACCCCGGCGTGATTCTCCGAGTGCGACGCCTTCTCGGTCCTTCTAGCTCTCTGTCTCTCTTTTGCGTTCTCCTCTGTTGATTTTCTTTAGCTTAATCTTCTCCTTTTTTTCTTTAGTTCTTTAGCCATTTTTTTATTTATAATTTTTATTTATTTTTTTTTTATTTTATTTATTATTATTTTTTGTTGCGTTCTCCTCTGTTGAATTTATTTAGTTTAATCTTCTCTTTTTTCTTTAGTTCTTTAACCATTTATTTTATCTTATTTATTTATTTATTTATTCATTTTTATTTATTTATTTATTTGTGTGTGTGTGTGTGTGGGGGGGGGTACTCTAAAGTATTCTCTTTTTCTTTACCTTATCATGTTTATTCCAACAGTTTCTACTCCATCTCCTCTTCTTCCTCCTCCTCCTCTTCCTCCTCACTCCACCTCCCCCTCTTCCTCCTCCTCCCCCTCTTCCTCCTCAACTACGACCGCCCACACCGCCACTATACCACGAAAAAAAAAAAAAAAAACTTTCCCACAGTAGGAAAATTCTGGACTGTGCTGAAGCCTTCGTTACGTCGTGTCTTTTAACCCTTTCGTTCATCTTAGTCACGTGTTGCATATCCTGAGACGTTCTCGGTGCCTCCGGAAGCTTAATGGAATAGCCAGTGTCTCGATGTGGCTTTGGGTATGTCCTGCGCGTGACCTCGTTGCGTGTCTTTGCGTGTGTCTTTTTTGGTGTTGTTTGCGTGTGGGTGTGGGTATGTGGGGTGTGTTTGCGTGTATGTGGGTGTTGTTTGCGTGTGGGTGTGGGTATGTGGGTGTTGTTTGCGTGTGGGTGTGGGTATGTGGGTGTTGTTTGCGTGTGGGGCGGTGTTGTTTGCGTGTGGGTGTGGGTATGTGGGTGTTGTTTGCGTGTGGGTGTGGGTATGCGGTGTGTTTGCGTGTGGGTGTGGGTATTGTGGGTGTTGTTTTGCGTGTGGGTGTATGTGGGTATGTGGGTGTTTGTTTGCGTTGTGTGGTGTGTGGTATGTGGGTGTTTTGCGTGTGGTGTGCGTATGTGGGTGTTGTTTGTGTTGTGGGTATGTGGGTGTTGTTTGGCGTGTGGGTGTGGGTATGTGGTGTTGTTGTTTGCGTGTGGGTGTGGGTATGTGGGTGTTGTTTGCGTGTGGGTGTGGGTATGTGGGTGTTGTTTGCGTGTGGGTGTGGGTATGTGTGTTGTTTGGGGTATGTGGTATGTGGGTGTTGTTTGCGTGTGGGTGTGGGTATGTGGGGGTGTTGTTTGCGTGTGGTGTGGTGGGGTGTTTTGTGGGCGTGTGGGTGTGTTTTTTGCGTGTGGGTATGTGGGTGTTGTTTGCGGTGTGGTGTGGGTATGTGGGTGTTGTTTGCGTGTGGGTGTGGGTATGTGGGTGTTGTTTGCGTGTGGGTATGGTGTGTGGTGGCGTGTGGGTGTGGGTATGTTGGGTGTTGTTTTGCGTGTGGGTGTGGGTATGTGGGTGTTTGTTGTGGGTGTGTTTGGTTGCGTGTGGGTGTGTTGGTTTGCGTGTGGGTATGTGGGTGTTGTTTGCGTGTGGGTATGTGGGTATGTGGTGTTGTTGCGTGTGGGTGTGGGTATGTGGGTGTTGTTGGTGTGGTATTGTGTGTTTGCGTGTGGGTGTGGGTGTGGTGTTGTTTGCGTGTGGGTGTGGTTGTGGGTGTTGTTTGCGTGTGGGTATGTGGGTGTTGTTTGCGTGTGGGTATGTGGGTGTTGTTTGCGTGTGGGTATGTGGATATGTGGGTGTGGGTATGTGGGTGTGGGTATGAGGGTGTGGGTATGAGGGTGTGGGTATGAGGGTGTGGGTATGAGGGTGTGTATGGGTATGAGGGTGTGGATATGGGGTGTGGGTATGAGGGTGTGTGGGTATGAGGGTGTGGTATGAAGGTGTGGGTATGTGGGATGAGGGTGTGGTATGTGGGGTTTGGGTATGAGGGTGTGGGTGTGGGTACGATGGGTGTGGGTATGAGGGTGGGTATGTGGGTTGGGATATGAGGGGTGTGGGTGTGGATACGAGGGTGGGTATGGAGGTGTGAGAGGTATGAGGGTGTGGGTATGAGGGTGTGGGTATGAGGGTGAGGATATGAGGTGTGGGGTATGAGGGTGTGATGTGGGTGTGGGTATGAGGGTGTGGGTATGTGTGTGGGTGTGGTGTGGGTTGAGGGTGGTGTGGTATGTGGGTGTGGGTATGATGTGGATGTGGGTGTGGTATGAGGGTGTGGGTATGAGGGAGTGGGATACGAGGGTGTGGGAGTATGAGAGTGGTATGAGGTTGTGGGTATGGGTTTGGATGTGAGGTGTGGGTATGAGGGTGTGGGTATGAGGGTGAGGATATGAGGGTGTAGGTATGTGTGGGTATGAGGGTGTGGTATGAGGGGTGTGGGTATGAGGGTGTGGGTATGAGGGTGTGGGTATGAGAGTGTGGGTATGAGGGTGTGGGTATGAGGGGTAATGTGGGTATGAGGGTTGAGGATATGAGGGTGTAGGTATGAAAGTGTGGGATATAAGGGTGTGTGGGTATGAGATGTGGGTATTGGGTAGTGGGTATGAGAGGTGAGGTATGAGGGGTGTGGGTATGAGGGTGAGGGGATATGAGGGTGTGGTGGTATGAGGGTGTGGATATGAGGGATGTGGGTATGAGAGTGTGGGTATGAGGGTGAGATATGAGGGGTTGGGTATGAGGGTGTGGGTATGAGGTATGATGAGGGTGTAGGTATGAGGGTGTGGGTATGAGGGTGTGGGTATGAGGGTGAGGATATGAGGGTGTGGGTATGAGTAAGAGGTGTGGGTATGAGGGTTATGAGGTGTGGGTACTATGAGGGTTATAAGGGTGTGGGTATGAGGGAGTGGATATGAGGGTGTGGGTATGAGGGTGTGGGTTTGAGGGTGTGGGTATGAGGGTTTGGATGGTATGGATGTGAGGGTAGTGAGTGTGGGTAGGTAATGTGTGGGGAGGGTGTGGGTATGAGAGTGTGGGGTATGCTGGATGGGTGTGGGTATGAGGGTGGTGTGAGTATGGACTATTTGTGGGTATATTTATCATATGAGGGTGTGGCTATGAGGTATGAGAGTGTGTTGGGTGTGGGTATTGTGGGTATGAGGGTCATGAGAGTGTGGGTATGAGGGTATGGACTATTTGTGGATATTTATACGTAAGGAGGTATGGATTGTAGTATGTTTGAAGGTAAAGTTAGGAAGTGTATGTGGAGGAAGTTCTGAGCTGGGTATGAAAGGGGGTGATGGTATAGAGTGGGTATGGAGTGGGTACGGAGTTTGGGTATAGAGGTGTGTAGGTAGGAATTATGGGGATGAGAGCAATTAATTTTTATTTTCTGTTTGTAATAATGACGAAAATAGTGATAATAACAATGACGATAATAGTGATAATGATAATAATAATAATAATGATAATAGTAATAACAATAAGGATAAAGGCAATAATTATAAAAATGATAATAATGATAATGATAAAAATGATAATAATGATAATAATAAAAATAATAATATTAATGATACTAACCATACTAATAACAACAACAATAATAATACTTATAATAACAATGATAGTAATAATACAAATAATAAGAACTGTTTCTTTATAATAATGATAATAATAATAATGATAATGATAACAACAATGATAACAATAGCCAACAATAACAACATCAACACCCATATTTCCTCCCGTACATTCCCTCAAAGTGAAAAAAGACAAAAAAGC